CTCCCAGAAGCAGTGTCCCATGTCCACAAACAGCTGTGGATAGCTGTGCCCCCCACAGCATTGCAGGGCCCTGCTGCTTCTGCCATATGGGTTCCTGCCAGAGGAAGACCACCCTTGTCCAGGTGGGACCATCCCTCCACTCTTGGGTAACGCTGCCCTTCTCCACCAAGGGCAGCACACACGGGATCAATGCCCAGCGGCACTCAGGGAGGTCACACCAGAGCAGCACTGACCCAAATCCAATCTTCCCTGTCCCCTGACTGCACGGTACCTGTGCAGGAAGCCGCGAGAGAAGCCCAGCACGTGGTGCCAGGGCTCAGGCTGAGCGCCAAGGCAGCATCCAGCACGTCATTCGCACATGCAGGGACTGAAAATCCACTTGTGGTAACAGCACGTCTGTTTGCGCGAGGTGGTGGCCAACTGCGAGTGTTGCTCACTTCATCACCACCTTCCCCTCCATCCCCAAAGCTCAGCCCAGTCAACGGCTCTGTTTTCCTACAGCCCTTTGGAGCAGGAACCACCAAGGCTCTCCCTTGGTTCCTGCAAGCCACTGCAATGCAAACACCAAAAGAACAAAAACAACCTGAAGGTGTTTCGCTGCCTCCAAGCTCTGTCCCTGTTATTGTATTTCATACACATATTTGGCTGAAAAATCCATTTCCTGGGACACTGCTGCAGCGAGCTGCTACAACTGTCAGCGTAAATGATGTTCTGCCAACGGCAATCTCGCAGTGTCATCTCTAATAACACGGCACTAAATCCCAGCTCACGGGGGACGTGCTCAGCTGCTGCAAGACTCCTCAGTGGCTCAGCCCAGACCCCCACCCATCGCCCCGCTCTGTTCTCCTGTCTCTGCATTACTGCAGCACAGGGAGAGGATCATTTGGAGCAGCACTGCACAAACATCACCCCTGACAGAGGTTCTCTCGATGCTGGGGGAAAGCTGTTGCACATCCTGCTTCTTGCCAGCCTTGTCTGAGGCAAAGGTTTTTCCCCATACGTGTAACAGCAACCACGGCCACCCCCCACACACAGACCAGGAATAGGGTGCAGAGGGCAGGAGGAACAGAAATCCCACATTCACACTGAGGTCTGTGTCTGCACATCCCCCTCAAAGCCCTCTGGCATCAAATGCCCATAATCACTCTCCAGACTGACTCCCTTCCAAAAGGGCAACTCCAAGGCTATTTATTACATTATCCCTATTTACAGAAATTAAAGTGCTGAGGAACTGATTCTCCTCTGCAGCCCAACAACAGAGAGGGAAGTAGAACTCAGGAGCTGCCAGGACCACGCTTTGATGACTCCTCTGCAATAACCAGTAAATATGAAAAGACACAAACACTGAGATCTACAGGAAGGAGCTGTGGGGTCGGGATCTCAAAATGGATGGTCTTGTTTGAATGTCTGGTACTTCTCTCACCCTAGTGGGAGAAAACTCTATTAGATTCTAAAATTGCCAAGATCTTCAACTTTTTTTAGGTCACTTAGGGGACACCACACTGCTTGTACATACTCAAAGAGATTTAAAACCAAGGAGGAACAAGAATTTTTTAAGACTCCCAACACTGTGCAACCACAACTAATAGGATGAACTGCAGGAAAGTGAAATTTAGCTTTGCTGTGGAGAAGAAAGATCCCAGTATTCATCCAATGGGGATGATGCAATGCAAGTTAGGGGGAGTCCCACTCCTTGTGTCATTTAAAAACAGAAGGGATGAAGTCCTTGCAAAAATCTACTGTTCCAGCAGAAGCAGAGCTTCTGACTGTTATTTGTGCCCTGTTGTGCCAGTGGTGGGGCAAACACACAGCAAGAGGAAGTCCCTATTCCCATGAAAACACAGAGAGCAAGCGTGTGCATGACACAGAGGGGAAAAGTGAAGTGACAGGTAAAGTGACCTACTGAGACCACACGTCATGTTCCCCAAGACTTTTCTGCTACTCCTCTTTGAGAGCTGCTTTATGAAGCGTGGCAACACTTCCATGTGCATGTCAGGGACTAGGAACATGACCAGGACACACAGGGAATTTGTTCTTTATATACAAGTTCAGAGCAGGGCTCCAGAGCCTGCTTCCAGAAAAAGTTGCTACAAGAAACAAGACACAGCTGACCCCAGGGAAAGGCAGCACGCACATCCAGAGCCTGGGAAAAACATCCCACAGGCAGCTCCTAATGCCCTTTTTGGCAGAGAGGGCTGGGCATTCATCACCTGTCCAGGTGAGGGGTGAAGGGACGGAGCTGCCAGATGTGTTTGGCACTGTGTCCGCTGGGGAGCAGTGCAGATCCAAGGGGAAAATCCAAGCTATCCCTATTTCGACAGCAGGCCTGCGTGACTGTATCCTGCTGTCCCGTCTGCTCTCTTTTCCCTTCCAGCTTCCCCAGGGAAGGTCTGGAAATTTGCACCATGAAGTCTGCACAGCTGAAACATCTGCAGCACCGCCACTCCCTGCCCTGCCTGGGGAAGGCCAGCATGGACACACAGCACAGCTGGAATTCCCCCCAGGATGGGGGAAGTCACACTGTCCAGGGAAACAATACTTTTGGGGTTTTTAGGCCGTGCAGATATGACAGAAGGAGGTGTCATGCTAATTGCTGCCTTTACTGGGAAAAGGCCTTTAATAAGGGAGATGGAACAATTCCCAGCCATTGGGAGGGGGAAGGAACAGGACAACTGGGCAGAAGAGTTATAGGGAAACAGATTCTTTTGCTATGCACAGCCCATTCAAATCAGCCCTGTCTGGCAGGGGAAGGGGCATGAACATGAGATGTTCCCAGGCCTGAGTGCTGGAAGCATTTGCATCATCACCAGCAAGACCCCAAAATCTGCCCTGAGCACAGACTGGATCATCATCACATGGCACTGGCAGTGCTGCCAGAGGGACACCAAAGCAGAGGACAGCTGGTAAGGAGACACGAGGTCCCACTGCACAAACCTTTTCCAGGGCCCTTGGCAGTGCAGCAGGAATTAAAGGCTGGACTGTCATCTTACCTCAGCACAAAGGACTCCCCAGCCATCAGCAGGGAGGGAAATGGTTTAGTTGCTCCTGCCTGCAGACACATAAGATATTTCCAAACAAGCAACACTAAATAGCTGTAATTTCAGGCTATTGTTCCTTTTTATTTTGGTTTTCAGTTTGTTTTGCATTTTTATTTTTCCTGGAATTCTTTGTTTGTTTTGGTTTAGTTTAGTTTTTTCAAAACTGGCAAAGGATTTCTGCCTGACCACATCACTCTAACTACTATCAGCTGCTTCTGAACAGGGAGGAAAGACTCCTCAAGCCAGTCCAGGCATCCAAAAATGTGCCTCCAATGGTGAAGTGACGAAACGAAAAAGGATCAATACCATGCCAGTCACTAGTGGAGGAGTTTGAAGCCTGCACAGGTCACTGCAGTTTCCCATCTGTCTTGGGGATACTTCTCCCCAATTATAAAAAACCCCAGAGATTTAACAGGCATGTTTTTCATCACTATCAGCTCAATCTGGTGAAAAACTCAACCTCGCATATTTGTTTTAGCAGCCAGCGGGTGGTGTGGTGCTGCAGAAGAGAGATTTGGGTGAGAACTCCAGGCAGAAATCTGCTCGGGCCGGCTGGTGCTCCAGAAGGAACGCTTCCCATTTAACCTCTTCCATTGCCTCCATTTGCAAAGCAGATTAAACATTGCAGAGCTACAAGATGCAATTATGCAGAACGAGTTATGATGCCAAGGACAGCAAATTCACCTTTGCAGCTCGATCAATATCAGTTATCGATGGCAAACCGTGCCCAACACAGGAGCTGCCTCTGGAGTGTGGAACTGCCCATGGGAAGCGCTCCCCTCAGCTCTGTGCTTCATTAAACACACAGAGGATCTGGCAGGGGCTGGCAATTAGATACAGAGCTTTCAACCGCTCACGAATTCACTGCAGATTCCTCCCAGATTACCTCCACGACACAATCCATTGATCAGAGGTGTGTTCTCAGGCTCCACAGTTAATTACACTCCCTGCTGATGGATGAACAGCAAAGCCATCGCTGTGAAAATACACTGGGAGCAGAATGCCAAGCAACACAATCCCAAACAAAGACAAAAGGGGCTGGGAAGGATTTTGGAGCTTTCAAGGTTAAAGCTGCCTGCAAAATACACCGGGGTCAGAGTGAACAGGGGACAGATGCAGCAGGAGGGCACTGTCCCGAGAGAAGGGACAGCTCAGCCAGATTCCCAGCCCTGGTGAGTTTGTCCACTCACAGGAAGGGGATTATACAATGCTGGGGAAGCAGCCAGGCATGCTGGGAAGGATGCTGGAGTCTGGAGACCCCCACTGCACTCATGATCTCAGCTACGTTCTCATGTCCAGACTTGCCCACTGCACTCTTGGTTTACAAAGAAAAATGCACTCAAAGACTGAGGCCCAGACTGGGAGGCGAAGGACAGCTCACACCCAGAGCCCTGCTCCAAAGGCCTGTGTCACTAGAGGAAATCCAGCTGAGGCTGTTCCCAAATACCACACAAAGATCTCTGAAGCCTACCCAGCACTCAGCAAAGAGCCAGCAATATGGACACAGCATGCAAGTCAGATGTCACTGTGCTCAACCTCCTCTGGCCTGTGCTGGGCAACCCAGGTAGACACAGTCCTGCCAACTACTCCAGCCTCCAACTCCATCTCTTGCTCACTTGAGAAACGCCTTCCTCTGTCTGTACCAGCCTTCACTTGTCTCGCCATCCAAGGCCATTGGAGATGAGATGCAACAATGCTGCACTTCCTAAGGTGCAAACAGGGACCCCTTCTAATGGCACCAGAGCACAAAGGAGTCCTCCCAACCCACCCTGCTTATCCCACCAGAGTAAAGAGAAACCTTTCACAAAACGCCTTCTCTGCAAGTTTTAACCAAAGCTGGCCACATGCAGAGCCACACCAGCAGGAGGGAGGGCCACGGGTGTTTCAGCCCAGCTTGTCACCACCACAGTGAGTAGCTGGCAGACCTGTGCCCAGCCCAGCAGGCTCCTGCCAGCTCCTTACCTTTCACCACGCTCAGGGTGGCATCGTTGCTGTAGCGCTTTCGGGCGGCGTTGGTGGCCACGCAGTGATAAGCCCCAGCATCACTCTCCTGCACATCCACGATTTGGAGGACACCATTGGGAAGAGTTATAAACCTGAGTGAGCAAAAGGAAGAGTGTGAGACAGGCTGTGCCTTATCCAAGCTATTGATCCCTCAAAGCCCTTTTATCCCTTCCTTTTCCCTGCCAAATGTCTCGTGTCTTGGTAATGATGGCAGAGTGGGATCAAGAAACCTCTGAGCAACCCAACCTGTGGTTCTTCAAAAGCAGCAGATACAGACCTATCCATCACCTTGGAGTCTTCACAATACAGAATCTGCTTTTGAGAGACCAAGCTAAGAGGGCTTTGCTGACACAAACCATCTGACAGTACAAACCAACTCCATACACACACACACTTATCTACGTACACACTTGTAATGTCTCAAAGCACACAGGTGCTTGAACACACACTACAGCCAGTTTCAGTACTTGCTTTTCACAAAGATTTGGCTGCCAGAGAAAAAAAACACAATGCAAAGAAGTCTGAACATCATCCTTTTCCTGCTGCACCTCAAGTGCATGGAGGGACCAAGTGATACACGGCTGCACCTTCATGGGCCAAAGCAGCTGCGGCACAGCCATCAGAACCTGCACCATTCCTGGGTTGTGGTGATTCCTTTCCTCCTTCCACAAGTTTCTGGCTTTTCACAAGCTGACAAACTTACAGCTGGGCACTCAGAATCCCCCCATTTGCCCATGGGGTGCTACTGAGCAACACTTCCACGGAGTGAAATGGCTACAAGGCTCACGACATGAACACAATCCTTGCTGCATTACACTGAACAAAGCTGATGATTAGCAATTAGCATAAAAGTAGGAGCTGGCTGTCAGCATCTCCATTTTCTGCCTGGATTCCTAGATGGCAGCCTCTTTATTCTTGAACGCAAGGCGCAAAGCCTACGTGATCCTTTTTAATTATATATGAGATCCATTTTTAATTGCAAGTCTCTATATAAACAGAGCTGCTGAGGTTTGACAGGCAGCTCTGGGTTATCAGTCTTCATTATGAAGAGGACACATTCAAAGGCAATTGCTGAGGGCAGGGATGGCAGCTATTCCACAGGAACAGCACAAAGACAAGTTATAACCACAAATGCCAATCCTGCCATCCACAAAGATCACAGTCAGTAAAACTGTGGTTCTCCGGGTGCTGAGACAGCTGGAGTGCCATGAACGAGGGTCATGGAGCCAGGAGGACCTTAAGAGATCACTCATCCTGCGTTCAAACCATGGTCCCCAAACACACATCTGCTCCTGCAAACATTTTTCCTAAATCTGCAGTAATGGAAACACATCCCTTACCCTAAGCAGTCTGTTCCAGAGACAAATGTCCCCGCTACAAGTCTAGCATCAATCCTGGACCTCAGCTGCTGCAGTTGAGCTCATCACATCTTGTCCTCAAGAGCTACCAGAGCTCCTCCAGTGACCATTCTGCCTCTACTGGCACAATCCTAGAGCCTGATTCATGGACATAGACCAGCTGAAGCTTCCCATATACACAAACCCAATGCCACAATGCTTTACATCCCTAAAGCCACGATCCCGCTACTTACAAAGACACTTTGCTCAGGATCAAGCTCCAGAGACCTCAGAGGAGGCAGAACCCAAAAGCCCTCATCAGGATGCCTCATCAGGACTCGGGAGAAAGATGACAAATATTTGCATCCCCTCAGCTCTGCGGAGGGAAAGCCTCCCACTGCGATAATATTTATTTTTGTCGTGCATCTGCTATTTGAGTCTGTAATTAATATCAACATATTTCAAACACCAGGCAAGGCATCTCCCAGCCACAAAAAGACACTCCAATTATGTATCACAGATTCAACAAGGCTGGGAAGGACCTCTGGAAATTGCCTGTGGCTTTTCTCCTCTCAGAACCGTGCCCACAGTCATGCCCAACACTCTCAGCTTCTCTTGAGGGCAGAAAACAAGCCACTGTGTTTCTAAAGTGAGCAGGAGCTGGAGACAAGGGGGGTGAGTGGGAAGACTCCATCAACACAGAGCTTCAGATGATCCCTTCAGCAAGGCCAGTGGTAGAGGTCTATTTAATGCAGTACATCCTGTTGGGAAAGCACGGCAGAGGTAAGGATCACTCTGCTGGGGAAGTGAGGAGGGAAGAAAGGCAGGATTTCTCTATCTACCATTTGTCCTAGCTGCTCACAAAGCCTCCAGCTCTTCAGGGCCCCAGCAGCCCTGAACTAAAAGCCTCCAGGCAGCCTGCAAGGGCACTTGCTCCATCCCCAGGCTCTCTGCAAGGAAGTTTCCCTGATGACTCAGAGCAGACAGTTAGCGAGGGCTTTTCTTCCACGCAAAGGGCACAGCTTTCTGTCTGCTCACCTTCACTGTGGATTAAGCAGAAAACAAAAACCAAAGGACAGACAGACACGCTGCAACCTCGGCAGTCTCAAGAGTTCTGCTGTTGACAGCTGGAGTGTCAGGATCTCACAGGAGCCAGCCTTGAAGGGCAGTGAAAAGCAAGTGCCCCACCTGGAGCAGGTTGAAGGGCAGTGCACTCAGACCAAGGCACAACTACCACAGACACAGAGCAGGAGCAACAGGGCACGTACGTGTAGCTGTTCCCCTCCCTGAGCAGACTGTACCTGAGAGCAGAGGGGCTCACAGCTGCTCACCAGGCAGTGCTTAAGAACTGAAATCAAGCACCACTGCCTCGTGTCCAAAACCTGCAACCCTACAGCTCACAGAACATTCCAGCATTAACAGCCCAATTCCCTCTCCTATATTTCTTCCCAGTAAACTGCCAGTACACCCTTCCTGCAGCCTTTTGAAGGTGTCCAGAACAGACCAAAGCACCAATCCTCAGGACAGTGAGGAACCTGCAGCTCTGTTGCATACTCAGAGTCTGCAAATCCTTTTTCTCACAGCTAAAGAGCCCTATTTGAACATGAGCCATATTAAGGCTCTCCTGACACTGCACAGAAATAAACTCTTCATGCAGATAAAACCCTCCCTTAGCCAAAATGTGGAAAAATATACTGTGATTGCAGAGCATGTGATCTGGAGGTTATGGATGTGCTGTGCAGACCTCCAAAGGCCTCTGGTTCATAGCAAGTGCTCATCTTGGCTCTAGAGAAAATAAACAGCAATTTGGAGCCTGATATGAAACCCAGCCAGCACCTAAAGAGAGAAGAGATCATGCCAAGAGATGCTGCACACACCCCAAAGCAACTGCAGTCTAGAGAAATCCTGCGAGCCACCTCTCAGCAGCTGCTGCAGATTTAAGACCATGTTTTTTCAACATAATTCAGAGCCAGAATTGCAAAATACTTCTGTGCCTTACTCATGCACGGAATTTAGATTTTGTCCTGAACAGGGACAGGAAAGGTATTCCAAAAACACCAATCAGCACTTTGCTACCCTTTAGGGTGTCTAAGTATTTTTTAAGCTCAGCCTTCAGTATCTTTGAGGTGGCACCTGTTGGAACCTGCACCCAGGGGCAAAGGCTGAAATGAGTGCCCAAAGGTAAGATCAACAAAGAAAAGGGGGAAAGAAAGAGAGAAAGAAAAGGGAGAAGGGGAGAAGGGGAGAAAGAAAAGGGGGAAAGAAAGAAAAG